ACAGTGGTGGCGCCGTGACGTACCGTGAGGACATGTCCAGCAACACTGTGTGGAGCAACGCGCCCGCGCTGACGCGCACGCACTGCGCTGCGATGGCGGTGACGACAACGGTGACGGTGGCGCCCATCACGTCGGGTCGCCGTGCGGTCCTGGTCTTCCACCTCGTCTACGCCAGCCCCGGCGACAGTCCCCAGAGCTTGATCAATCAGAGCATTAATGCGCTACGCGGCCTCGCGGCCAAATTGCGGCACAAGCACAACGTTCTCAACTACGTGCTCGAGCGCGATGGCATTGACGTCCTCTCGCCCGGTGACGCTCGATTCGCAAAGGCGCTCGTGGCGTCCGGCGCGTACGACGCCGTGCTCGTCGAGTACACACGCCACTGCTGCCACCACGTCTCTGCGTCCAATTACAAGCTGCTTCCAGATACGGCGCTACCGCTCTCGCTCGCGGAAAGTGTGCTCACCATGAGCCCCGAGGTCCGAAGTGGCCGTGAAACTACCGGTCTCGACTATTGCTCGCTGGTCTTTTGGCTCAAGGCGCACCGGCACCGAGTCGTGTCGCTTCTGCCAGCGCTCAAGTATGCGGTGCACGGCCACCGTCGTTCTTGCTCGGTCGATGAGCTATCGTCGACCTTGGACGGCCTGCCGTTTGACGACGAAGACGCCCTCCTCGGCCAAGCATCGCCAGCCGCTCTCCTCGAAGCTCTTTTGCCTCGCTTCGCTGACGAAAAAGAGCAGGGCACCCACTGCTACACTGACTCGGTGGTGGCGTGCTTCAAGGCATTGCTTCGGCTTGGCCGCATGGACCTTCTCCAGCGCTTCCTCGGCATGTACCTCTGCGTGGACGACGAATATGCTCGCGACACCGCTGTGGGGCGGTGGATTCACCGCTGCCTCCAGGTGTTTGGCTGGGAACCGCTGGCGTCAGCACTCTACAGTATGCTCCGACGGTGGCGAGCGACAAAGCTCGGGATCTCGTGGGGGCTACCGCCTCGTCGCGAGCTTGGCAGGTGTCGCCCAGGACCCCGTGTGCCCACCATTTATCCAGCGGTTTGCTGCCGAGTGCATCACTGAAATGTGGGCCATCGTCGCCGAGGGCATGCCCCTTTTCACCGATTCCGGAGTGACACCATGGGTCAACGGGGTCGTCGTCGACATTTGCCGCCATAGCTTGCAGCTCGAGGTACACGCAGTGACCGTGTCCGTGACGGACCGCTGGCTCTACAATCGGCTGCCTGACCTCATCGTCGCCAAGGTCGCAACGTACCTCGGGCCCGCCAACCACATGCAGCGCCTCATCGATATGAACGTGATTTGTCTGATCGAGGATCTCGCACCGGGCGTTGTCGCGCTACTGGAACAAGGCTATGATGCTGTCGCGCACCGCTACATCCCGAGCGTCTGCAAGGGCGTCCGCAGCCCTAGCGACAACGTGACGTACCTTGTCGAAGTCGTCTACAACCTCTTGGTCGTGGCTGCGCTGGAAGGCGGCAGCATGTGGCGCGACACGCTCGACTGCTGCGGGCGAGAGCTCGGGCTTGGTATGGCGCCTGCGATGATCCGTTTTGCGGAGCGCTGGCCGCAGCTCGCGACGGCACCGATCGTTGATGCTTGCGCCACGCGCCTGTTGAGTCACGCCGCAGAGTTCACCGAGCCGGTCCA